CGGATTCCACGTTGGTGAGAGTTTATATCCACTTTCCCGGTTGAAATTATTGTGTTTTTTGATTTCAACCGCTTCACGAACAATCCTTGGATAGTAATGTCGTTCAGTGGAAAGGACATGAGGTGTATGTAACAAATCGTGTGAGTTTAAAAAAAAAAAATGATTGATTATTGAGAATAAACAAATAATTGTTTTACTTGTTTCGCTCAATATTGATAACGACTATAGGTAAACATTTGAAATGTTTACAGAATATGTATATATAGTAACTTTAAATATAAATAATTAAAAATAAACAAATGTTTATGGGGCCTTCCATTGAAGGAACGTGATTTTTTTGCTCGTTTCCGATACGGAACCCTTTGTGAGAGAGTCCGATTCGCACTAGTCCGGTTTTTTAATATCACAAACAGCTGAAAGTCATTTGAAAGTTTTATTATCTTTTATATAGAAAACGTTCGTTCAAATGAAGAACTTTTTGAAGTTTCAATTGGAAACTATATTTAGAACTACTTAATATAATAAATTAGATAATAAAAACATTATATCATTTTAACAAACACATGATGAGCACAAAAAAAGGTAAAAAGCCGAAATATATAATTATTTTTGACAAAATAATATTATTATTAAATATTATTCGCGTCACCGGATTTGCCAAACAACAACATGTTCGTATCATCAATCAACACTTAGCACAAGATTGCAAAACTAATTAACCATGCCTGTAATCGTGACAAACACGTGATAACATCATGCCTCAGCAGTTTGCGACATCACAGGTGTCTTCGACACCAAGCATTGTGATCTACACATATCTTACGTCACTTTTTATTTAACTACAGACTACATTTTGCCTGTGACTTTGTCTACGTGAAATTATCTTTTGAGTAGTCAGTTTTTTGTATGAGCTTTTCAATTATTATGAAAATAAATCAAACAGTGGTAAAAAAATAGTTCTTCTGCATTTATAATTTAAATAAGGAAGCAAAGGTAATTTGTATATCAAAATTTTGTTGAATAATGTGCGAAATAAAAACTGTCTTAAGTTTTTCTGGGGTCTCACAATATCTTCATACAGAATTTAATATTAATAAGTTTTAAGTGTGAAAACGAAATTATTCCATGATTAGAGTAATCAATTTTGATAAAAATGAAGTGATAAATGTCTGACTAGAAGTAATTATGTGAGGAATTTCCCGATTTCGTTAATTAATCGCTATTGCAAAATGAATACATCATTATATATCATAGATTCAACTGATTATGGTTCTCGCATTTCTCGCAAGAGTCGAAGGAAGTGGACGAAACGAATTTTCTTTAAACCTTGCAAATAAATGGCGTAAGAATTCTTATATTTCACGTGGACGTTCACGCGAGCGGGATTCATGTTTCCATAAAAATCAAATCAAATCAAATCAAATCAAATCAAATTCTAAAATTCTAAAAAGAATTCTAAAATTCTTTTCTCTAGCCACCTTCGGCGCTTTCCATTCCTTGAAAGCGCTGAAGGATTTAATATAATGGCTGTAGTGAAATTATAAATCTTATACTATCTTGAGAATAACTATGAGTAATATGGGCATCTTTATTTCCCCACTGCAGGGGCTCAGGCCTCCCTTATGGATGGTTAAGGAGGATGGGCCATGACCCTCCATGTAGCCCAATGCGGACTGGAGGGTATTAACGACTGCAAATGCAGCCGGTACCAACGGCTTAAAGTGCCTTCCGAAACACGGAGTAGCTCGAGATAATAATTTTTTGGTCACCCATTCCGTGACCGACCCTTGCGAAAGTTGCTTAACGACAACAATCGCGGGCCACGGCGCTTATCCACTACGCCATCGAGCTACTTATTTCATATCACCATAGAATCATAACGGGCAAAATAAAAATACAGAAGCCGACTTGAAAACGTAAGAAATGTGTTTTAGGACTATTGTTTGGACTTATTTTTAGTGTTAAGTAGCTGTTTGGGATGTCAAAGAAAAGGCACCACAAGAGAGAGAGAAGTTATCTCGAGTTTGTGAACAAGCTTTGTTAACTTACTAACTCTACCAATCTAAACATCAGTGGCATCAAAATTAAGCACATTTATCCTGATTAGTTATCGCGAAGTCAAGCAAAATGTAAATGTCCTTTTCTCGATTATAATATACTGTGCGATTAAGTGTCTGATAACACTTGGTTCAATTGACTTATAATCGCATTGTTCCTGTCTAGACACACAGACAACGTGTCTAAGGATAGAATCACATAGAAGACGAATTTATTGTTCTTATTTTGATTTGGCATAAATTTTGAATTTAATACATTTAATTTTGTTTGTTATTGTTTAATTAAAATTGATTTTATTTTCTTTATTTTGAGTTATATTCAATGCAATTTATGATTATTTTATGAAAATCTATTTATTTCCATAATTATAATGTATTTTTAAAGTAGGTTGCCATTACTGTAAATTTATTTTTGTTGTTTCATCATTTTAATATATTATTTAATGTATTTTTTATAGATTAAATTAAGGCAACATTTTATATTTTATAAAATATTATATTTTACCGCTTAGATTAAACAATGCCAATCAAATTACTTCTGTTCAGGCACATTTTATTGGGTTATAGTCTGATTATTATTATAATGCAATATGAATTTAATTCATTTATATGACTTTAACCTGTTGTGTGTTGTTATAAATTAAATAAATAGATAGAACTGGGTTCAACAAAGCAAACTGGTCCAGTGTTGTTCAGTCCGCTGACAGACCTTTGAGACTACTTTTCTGTACGTTCCTAAACGCATGACTTTGAAGTTTTCAATATCCTTAAAGGTGAATAAAGATATTAATACTCTATATCATTAAATTGGTTAGAAATGCAAGTTGTAAATGCATGAGTAATGATTATTATCGATATAAATAGATAAAAGGATTACATGTCTGAAAAATATTAGATAAGTGACTGCAATGACATTCTTGTAATTATTCTTAATGAAAAATTCCCTTTGTCCCTGGCACTCTGTGATGGGAATAACCACTGAGCTACCCAGGGGCTGCAGTCTCTACAAAGTTTGCGATCTTACCGTACTCGGTCGCTAACTCCTAGTGATCCTGATTTAACAATTATTGTAAGTCTCTCCAGATAAGTATATTGTTATTTGTTAGGCGCGTACCGAGTTTAAATTAGCGATATTCGTTAATTTGCAAAATTAATCAAATATGATAATATATATTCATGTAATTTTTATTTGACTTGGAAATCTTTGGTCATGGTGGGCTGCGTACATAGAGAGACAAAGAGAAAAATGACAGACAAAGGCAGCAGATAGCATATTGCGTCTAATAGACCTTCAAAACTAACGCAAACCATTACAATTGTATTAAAATTTGTAATGGTTTGCGTTATATATTTGATAAAAAGTACTAATACGTGTAAAATGGTAATTTTATATTATATTCTATAGAAAAAAAAAAAATATATATATAAGTTCACATTTTGTTTCAATCGATGTCCTTAGACATACATGTGTTCTTTAAATTTTTATTTAAAGCGTTTTAGCCTTTTTTCGATAATAAATTGTATGATGTATAAACTGTCTCTGGTCATCTAAAACGATAAATTTTAAGCTTAGATCTCATCGAAGAAAATGTATTCATAACGCTTGGCGACCCTAAGGTGCCAAAACTAGAAGCCAAAGCGATGTCATTTGGAACTGTTATCGTTTCCTGTAGTACAAAATTAATGTTAGAGATACAGTTGGTGTATTGCTGTTCAAAAGGGTTGCATGTGTTAAAGCAGTTTAATTGAAATTTTTTTTTATCTTAAACTAACCGGAAAAATCGCTCAAATTGTAAGGAACATTTTGTGTGTTACATAATATAATTAGTTGCAATTTGGAATAATAGATGGCGCTTACCAATTGTTAATCGCGGTATTTTCACACATTAAATATATATATTTATAATTTTTTATAAGGGACTTCTTATCCGTGTACATAAATAAACTTTATGGCTAAACTTCAGTCTCATTGAACTCTCATTCTAGAACCTTGACTTTGTTTACCTAAGAATAGCTGTTTAATAGAAAACAACAACTTTAATTTGTATTTTTAACAACAACCAAACAAGGTGCTATATTACTAATTTTTCAGGTTTAAAAATATCTACTGATCCCTTTGGGATCAAATTTAGCCTTTTAAACAAAACAAGAAGTTATCGTAAAATATAAAATACACAATGTCTTTAAATTATATATATATATATACCCATTAAACATAAGCCTCTGTATTAAATTGATTATAGTAATAAGCGATCTAAATACGAGTATTGTAGACATACATAATGTACACAGATGTATAACACACATATCTATGTAAATGTGGTAAGTAATTTGTGTGTATATTTTATATGGTTCCGTTTCTTACTGTTTTAATGTAGTTTGTAAGATAATTACAAGAATTTGTCATAATTAAAGACATTTTATATGTCAATCATTTAAACGAAATTATAAATAAATACATATTTTATAATTGTATTATACATAGAGTTGACTTTCTCTATTAAGTACATACAGCAGTTTATGACAATATGTCATATATTTGAAATTGATTTTAAATGCTACCATCAATGTATTAAGGTTTAAACTCAAGTGAAGAAATTCGACAGATTTGTATTTTACCTGATTTTGTATTTTACTGTTTTAAAAGTATATGCATTGTTCACAAGGAACTCATTTGTTCCTTAGCTTCCTGTTATTAAATCTTAATAAAGATTATTAATTTTTTTTATTAATAATGACGTGCGTGTAATACAAAACAAATACGGATTCCTAAAATATCTATTCAATTGAAAATAATACGATATATGTACACAACGGATTACCATATGTTGACAATATTTAGACTACCTCGAGATATTAAATTATTTCCTTCATATACAGTTTAAGACCACGTGGCTGTAGATGTTATTCTACAAAATATATTTTTAAATTTAATAGAACAATATGACTGATAATGTAGAGTCTGTGGAACAAACTAACAAAATGTATAGTGGCAGTGATATCAAAGGTATAGTCGACATCATATCAGGTTAAACATAACAGTTGAACTTTTGCAATTTTAAAATCGTCTCTGGAAAAATCAATCACAATCTAATAGAAAACACTTAAATATATTGACTGTCTCAAGTGCCCTGATGGGAATCGATGGGAACTTTTAGCAATCCGAGCGAGTTCTCTAACCAACCAACCTCAGCTAAAGTGTAGATTTTTTAAACACTTATTACTTTTGATAAATAAGAGCGTATTTTCATCAAAGTACAAGGAAACTAGATCATCACCACCATCACCAGCCCTTTTACGTCCCCACTGCAGGGGCTCAGGCCTTCCTTGTGGATGGTTAAGGAGGATGGGCCATGATCCTCCACGCTGGCCCAATGCGGATTGGAGGATATTGACGACTGCAAATGCAGCCAGGATCAACGGCTTAACGTGCCTTCCGAAGCATGGAGTAGCTCGAGATAATAATTTTTTGGTCACCCATCCCGTGACCGACCCTTGCGAAAGTTGCTTAACGACTACGATCGCGGGCCGCGGCGCTTATCGACTACGCCACCGAGCTACTACGCCAAGGAAACTAGATAGATTAACAAAAAACGTGTACTTCAGTTAATTTTAAAACCTTAAGATGTTGGAATTTGACATATTGTTGTAATTTATTTTTTGTTTTATTTAAGTTATTGTTTACGTTAAAGGTATATTTATATATTTAAAACAGCTAAAAAAGTTGTGGCTTTTCTGTACATTGAGTCATACTTGACAAAAAGAAATTATTTCATACTCGTCAAATCATCAATAACCAAAAAAAGCGTTCCCCGAGGAAGTATTTTAGACCTATATTCTATCTATAAATCAATGACTTTATTAACGTGACAAACCATAAGTGCACTTTGTACGCTGAGGATATACATTTTATACGTTCGAATCCAATGCTAGCCAAATGTAATCCAAAGCCTGCGGGTCAAGTATGTCTATGTGATATTGTATTAATACTTCTTATAATTTCAGGTTGGGGTGTAAGACACACACAATGCATTTTATTATTTTTAACGTTATCTTGCGCGTACCTCGTTAGGTCTTTTATGGCTGTAGCACTTGTTGCAATGGTACACAATGAGAATACTCAAATGAAAAACAATATGTCGATTTCATACTCGTATATTGGTATTGACAATTCAACAAATACAAGTAATGTTCCAATATCCAAAGAAGATTTTAAACTTGATGGCATTTTCAATACAATGCTGATCATACCTCCAGTGAGTATTTATTATCGGAAAAAGTTCGTCCGAGATATATCGACTTATTTAAGTAGGTAGTGGAAAAACAAAAGACAACCCCTGGCTACAGGTTTGTGGACAGTTGCATAGGAAAATTAGTTTTATTTAATGACAGACAAACTATTACGAATCTTTAAAAAGAAATGGAAGATCAAAGTTTGAAGGTAATAAATATTTTGCCACGGATAGAATATGATGAATTTATATTTTGACTGTAACAGAACCCTTAGAAATATGACAAGATTTTCATATTTTGAAGTTATTTTTTTGCAACAAACTACTAAAAAGTTATTGACTTTTGGGGCACAAATCTTACCTAAATAGATGGAATAGAATCGAATAAGGAGAACAGGCAATGCCCCTCCTCTTATGCTCAGAGTGATAAGTGGGTGTTAATGATAGGCAAGACCAATATTATTGGGACAAACGGCTAAGCGTGCTTTTCAAAGCACGGAGAATGACTAATGCTGGGCATAGCATCAGTCATTCTATACCCAGACCTTGCGAAAATTGTTTAATTTGGGAGTCGCCGAGGAAACGCATGGAACAAAACACCATCGATCGTCATTTAAAAAAAAAACAGAACCTGAATCACAGACTCGTAAAAGATTTACTTCCGCTAGTGCTCATAAAGTCCAGTTTTTAAATATGAGACCATTTTTGTGACAACATTTCCAAATGCTTTAGATAAACAAAGTTAAAAATTCAAGTACCTACCTAATAGTATTCTTACCTTCACTTGAAACTTTACAAGAAGAAGTTTTTGTGCCGAATTCAGTACATAAATATGGGTAAATAATTCCTTTCAAATGTGCCTATAGCATAAGCTATCTTCAAAAGAGGTCTAGAAACTTGTTAAGATTTCATAAAATTCACATCTATAGAAATTAAATGTGTTGAAAATTTTCCAAAGTAGGCTCGTTTCGTGAGGTTGTTTATCGACATTTCAGTTATCGATGTTTCAGAATTATAAACTTATGTTATAAAATATCTTTAAAAATCTATAATCTATTTAACTTAGATTTGATAGATAATTTATATAAAATAATGTTTTTTTTTTCAGTTTCCCACATTCAAATGGAGTAAAAAAATCCAAGATATGATATTAGCTGCTTTTTTTTGGGGATACATGTGTTTTCAGATTCCAGCGGGTCAAATAGCACATTGGTTTGGTGCCAGACATCTTCTTAGTAGCGCCTTAGCTATCAACAGCATTATATTATTTATTATGCCTGTTTCCAGTTACTATGTAAGGACCACAAATGTAAGCGTGGGTTTGAATATCAAGACAAAAGCTTTCAGATATCAATTAATATTTTAGGGAGATTGGATATGTACGCTAATTTGTAGAATATGTCTGGGTCTGTCCCAGGCCTGTGTTTTACCTGGATTACACACGATTCTCGGAAAATGGGCTCCGATTGAAGAAAGAGGAAGGATGGGAAATATAATGTATGGAGGTATGAATATATGTATGTAGTTAGTTGGTAAAGTTTATACAAAAACTACAAATGATATTGTGCAATTGAAAATTATTAAATTTATTTTGAACATTTTGAAAAAAATTTTAGGGCAACCCTTTGGCGCAGTCATAGGTTTACCATTGACAGGACTGATAGCATCATCGGAATTGGGGTGGCCCGGCATATTTTATATTTACGGATTGCTCTCGGGAATCGTTTCTGTAATACTTTGGTGTATGCTTGCCAATTCACCGTCGCAACATAAATCTATTTCTTTAGAAGAGAAAAGATATATTGAAGAAGCTTTGGGTCAAACAAATAATCAGGTAAATAAATAATTTGTAATTATCAAATTCAATCAAATCAAATTAATTTATTCAGTCTAGGCAGTTACAAAGCACTTGTAAAAGTCGAAACTCTATGCTGTCGTTTCGTATTTCTATGGCGAGAGACCTTGTACGGAGAAGAACCGTCAAGAGCTGCTTTTTAATTTCATATAGAGTCATCAATATTAAAAAATGATTTCATTAAAATGTATCTACGTCTGTGAGTTGTCTGAGTTTTCGTATTGCATAGGCAAATGAACTAAGTTTTCCAGTCAATAATGAAATATGAGGATGTCGTTGTAATTTAAAATCTAGCGTTACACCCAAGAAGATTGTTGAATCAACTAACTCGAGCTTTTCATCATTAAGTTTAATTTATGTTAGTTAAGCTTTTACATTAGGGAACATTAACTTTATACATTCCGTTTTTTAGCGCTTAGCTGGAGATCATTTATAGTAAAGCAAAAAGAAAGAGCATTGTTTACATAGTCAAAGTTATTTTTCCATCGATCAAAGTTAAATATTAAAGAACTGTCATCTGCCAACTATGTCACATAAATTATGGACAAAAATGGCAAATCATTTTTGTATATTAGACATAGAAAGGGATCTAGAATTGAGCCCTGGAGAACCCCCATTTTCAATTGTGTTTATATTTATAGTTTGAGTTCTGGAACTGAGGTGCGACAGCAATAATTAAATGGTAGTGTCTCCGAAAAACTTTTGAGCTGAGTAGCTTGTTTTTAATTATTATTGATGTTGATATTTTAAGCCTATTCTAATTGAGTGACAATATGAAATAAAACATTCCATTTTAAATTATGCTTCAGAGAATATTCCCTGTTCCATGGAGGAAAATATTAAGTTGTCCTGGCTTAGTAGCAATTGTTGCTTCTCATATCGGTTTCACTTGGGGAAAATTAACAATATTAACAGAGATTCCGTCATATATGGATAAAGTTATGGGGGTCAACATTAAAACAGTAAGTGGTAGTTTATCTGTTTTGTCAGGTGATACAACTTCCTTTAAATAAAATTCAAAATATTCAATCGAGCTTACATAATCTCTATCCATCTGAAATACTTAAATTCAGTTAATTTTCAGAATGGTCTACTTGCTGCTCTCCCATTCTTAATGCATCTATGTCTAGGTATATGCGCAAGTTGGCTAGCAGATATATTGATTGTCAAGAAATACCTTAACGTTACACAAACAAGAAAACTGGCAAATTCATTTGGTGAGACATATCCTTCTTAAAATTGTTCGAATATAATATTTATATCTTTAGATTAATTATTGCACAATTAAGAATGCTGTGTCATTTACGGCCCTAATATTTTTTACTGATCGTGGCCTGACTTTTGACATCAATCCATATCAAAAATATCAATCAACCTTGATAAGATCTACGCTGAGACGATCCAAAAAGAAAATCTGTTTACTTTCGCCATAAAAGAATGTGATTTGTTCCCATTATTTACATTATTTTTAAAATCTTTCTATTACTATAAGTATTATCAGATTCAAAATTATTATAAAATCTAGGCTACTGTTACAATCATTTATGAATGACGAAAAACTTGGCATGTATAAATAGTTATTTCTTTTAGGTACTTTTTTACCAGCAATTGGGATGATAGCACTCGCATACGCACCATCCAACATCTATGTGATTGAAACTTTACTAACGTTAAGTTTTGGTCTGAATTCTGCAGTATGTGTAGGGTTTTATGTAAGTTATTTCATAATTGTTTTATAAATGCTGATTTATCAACCATCATCCGTGATGGCGTGATAATATTACATGTAAGCGCAAGAGTCTAGCTTGGCGTGCTTAAAAAATAACAGATTACCTGTTTTTGATTTGGTCTAAAAATACCAACGAATCCTAAGGCTTATTCTGTATTTTCGAAAACAAAATTTCGTCTATCTTCGAAATATCCTACGACCATCTAAAAAATATAATATAATCGATCTATCTAGTCAAAGACGTACTTTGAAAGTGCTTTACGATCTATGTCATAACAAATATGACTGTATCTCTATAATAAAAAAACTAAGTTACAGAATACCAACCAGAACTCACTGTAGAAATCAATGTAAATTATTTGCAACTGCCCGATGAAGAGTAAAAGCCGGCAAGCGCTCGCCAATTTACGTATGGTTAATATATTTAACATATCATTTAATTCTTTTGATTTTATGGCGGTGAGTCCTGGTATATTTAAAAAAATGTTGCTTGAAATACTCCCTTAAACACACAGGTAGTCTATATTGTAATTAGTAATAGTTTCGAATTTGAAAACTGTATTCTTACAACAGTTGTAAAAATCAAACCAAAAACCGAGTAATTAAAATATTATTAATGTAGTAAACGGTGTTAGTGGCGATTTTAAAATTAATTATATATTTTTATTTTTAACAATATTTCAAATTGTCACTGTTTGTTTACTCTAATAAATGGAAAAAAATGCGAATAAGACTCCAAAGAAACCCATTTCACGATAATTTATGAGGCAACGGAGGTGAAACCTGACACTGCGTCTGAAAATTATATGTATATTTGTGTTTTTCTTTTTTTTTTCTCTTTCAATGCCCCTGCTTTTATCGTTTATTTTAATCTCCACATCACCTAAAGGTTGACTAGCAGAGAATGCCTAAGGCATTAAGTCCGCCTCTGTAAAATTGTATATAAAGAATTAAATAAATAAATCTTCACGGATGTGATTATAATAAAATTAAAAGAGTAATTCGTTGGTGGATAAACAGTAAGCTCTGCTATAGTAGATCAATGGCTCACATCCTTGCATTTGGTTTCTGTCCATTATATCCTCCTTTTCTCCAACCTTTCCTGTATTCTGAGTACTCGTCAATTTTTTCATATAAATAAAATTAACCGATTTCAAACTTCAAAAACGTAATAAATAATACTTATGTATTACTTGATTTGATTGCTTGTTTGTATGCATTGGATAAGCTCCGAAATTATTGAACCGATTTATAAAAGTCTTTCATCTACGGGAAGCTACATAATACGAGTTGGACATAGGCAATAATTTACGCAGGCGAAGTCACGAGGAAACAGCTAGTTTGATGGAAATTGGTTTACAATTCAAGAAGAAATCGAAGGCTAAACCTACTTTCATAAAAATATACATACTCCTTGGACATAGAATATCCTCCTTTCGGATTTTGAATGAATTCAGAATACGCGATCTTTTGTTTTTTATTGAAATACATGAAATACAATACATATCTTCTAAGTATTTAGGTGATATATTGTGAAAAACGTATTTTGTTTTGTTATAGAAGGAAAACTACTGATTCGATTTCGACAAAGTTTAAATAGGACTATTTCGGACCATTAAGCTGTCGAATAAAAAAGAATTTTGAAAATCTGTTAACAATTGAGCTTGAGCGAATTAATGAAAAGGCTGACAAGCTTGAGAATTAATTTATTTTATGGTAATAAAGGGTAAAGAAAAGAAACTGTAACAAACAAAAAATGAATATAAAAACAGTTCGTATGTTTACCTAAATATAAAATTGCTAAATTATACAAATACATACCCCTTTTTGGGTTTCTTAATAAAAACTTTGACGCTATTACAGGATATAATTTTATCTATTCTATTTTAGTCAGATATCTTCATAATTATAATATTTATATATTTAAATTTATACGATTTACATGTTCACATCAGATGATTTTTTTACGAACTGACATTCATAAAGAGCGTATTTGATTAGTCAAAATTTGTAATTACGAAAGATGAATAATAAAAAGATATGATCTTGAATATCAAAGACAAAAAGCTTGTATACTGAAACCTAGGATAATGAACGGTGGTACGGCACACCGTTACAACCTCTTCCTCCTTTTGGGTTTTGAGATCAGTCAAAAATTCCGATTTAGAGTACTCTGGAGCCGTGACCTTTGTTGTGTAATGCACTAAATAAATTCATATTTATCTATTCACAGGTGAATCACGTTGATATTTCCCCGAATTTTGCTGGTACCATGATGAGTATCAGCAACTTTGTTGGAAACGCGATTGGCTCATTATCTCCTGTAGTCGCGGGGCTTATACTCACCGACGTGGTCAGTATAACTTTTTGATTGCGAGAATTTATTTCGATAAATATATCGCAAGCGAAAGTTTGATTGCAAAATTTGAGTTCAAATATTATATTTGAAAATCGACTTTTACATGTTTTTCACCAAATAATTTGAAAAGAAAGTGAAAAGTTGTTTTGTGATAATTCATTAATAACACTTGTATGATGAGTAGTTATCATAAGCAAACTATTATTCTTATTACAATGTTATTCTAGTATTTATTTTAAAAAAATAATGACAAAACCGCTGATAACTTAGTACTTCCATTTGTGTTCCATAAATATTGGAGAATCGGAATAAAGGAAGGCTTTTAGAGTGAGCTTTATGTTCCACAAAGCGACTCATAATGACCGTAGTTTAAGCATTTAAGTAGTTAAAGTGGCGAATCGTTTTAATATCTACCTTTACATCGCATTATAAATTTCAAGAGGCGCTTTATGCACAATTTTACGAAACGTGTAATATAACCTCGCCGGTCATAAGATGGGTGAGCAAAAAATTTTTTATATTGTGTTTCGGAAGGTACGTTAAGCCGTTGGTCCCGGCTGCATATGTAGTCATTAATACCCACCAATACGAACAGGGCCCGCGTAATAGGTCATTGCCCATTCTCCCTATTCGATTCAATTCCATGTATAAGGAAGGCCTGAGCTCCAACAATGAGGACTTTAATAGACTGGTGATGAAGATAACTCATGTTTGTATTAAAGAGCTTACAAGGTCTCGGTCCATTTTAATTAAATAGCAATTTTTGAAACATAAATTATAACAGTATTTTTTTGATTCGTAGTAATTGTTATATCATTCATTCTTTTCAGACGAATCCTCTACTTTGGAGACAAGTATTTTTTATTTCTGCTGGATTTTATTTCATTACGAACTTGTTCTATCTAATTTTTGGTACCGGCGAATTGGCTGAATGGAATGATCCAACTTGTTATAACGAAGTACCATTACATGAGACGACCAAAATCGAAACGGATGCTGCTAATTTAGAAAGTGATCAGTTATTATAGATTTATAGTAAATAATAAGTTATTCCATAAGCGGTGTATAAGTTTCAATCAGGCCTTTATTTAAAAAAATACTTTTAAATTCAGAGAAAATCAAAGCTAATATTGATTTATCTTAGAAAACCAACAGCTATTCAAACGTTTCAAACGAGAGTTCGATGTTAATTGTACGAACTGCATAGTCCAGAATGATAAAATAGTTTACAAAGTAGTACACGCCTTCCGGCAGTCCTCAGTCTATTCCAAAGATATAAAATCGTAAAAGAAAAAATATATCTCCTTTCTGCTCCTAGAGCCATCTAGAAGGTTACATTATTAAGGTTAGAGATTTTAATTCCTGATACTATTTTACAAATTATTTTATGATCAAGGGGTTATTGTTGGTCTTACTGTGATGAATACAGTGCTGACTAAAAATATGTAATGTAATTTATATAGGTATACCTATAAGATTTATGAAAACAATTCACTAACGCGAAAGTATACTATGAATCAATAAGGAACTATTTGTATTTCATCTAACGATTGCACTTAGCATGGATGGATTATACATGATTTACTGTTATTGTGTTTAAAATTTATTTTCTAATTAAGCCTTGTAGCTTTTTTAAGATAATTTATGATCTTCATCTTAATTTGGATTGATTTTAATTGTGTCTGTGAGAATTGTTTAATAATTGATAACTAGTACAATTATAATCATTGTCCCAAATGATATAAGTTAATAGACCTAAAATATTTTTGACGTCACAGTGTATGCATATGTGGCATTTTTACAACAACCAGTTTTTGAAATACAAATACAATATTGGGTTGTTACACGTGAAGTTTTGATTAAGTCACTTAATTTACGTATCCGTGTTTTCTCAAAAAATACTTTTTTTATGTATGATTATTTTATAAGACAAAATGTTTAAATGAATAGTAATAATATTGAAGGTGGATTTAATAATTATCTGTTATTAAAAGTTACTCATTTCTTTTTAAAACAAAATAAGTAATTATGGGTGAAATTGATGGGTTCCAGAAAGAATCATATCGAAAATAGCTCGAACCTCCTCGATAAAAATAATGTTACAACCGTGCCCCTGATTGATGTTTTGATGGACTCGGCGGGGCCACTTATATGTCCCCAGATCTTTATGATTCTATAGATAGATATACACTTTATTGCTCACACATAATTATTAATTATAGATTAACAATACAGGTACTAATGCTAGGGTGGGCAAAGGCGGTCTTATCGCTAAACTTGATCTCTTCCAGACATCCTTTGATTTGTGTAACATTTGGATGAAAAAACCGGAGGTAGTGTGCCAGTAGTACAATAGAAAAAAAAAGCCAAAAATAATATAATGAGAAAATAAAGTAGTGTGATAATGAAGGTAAATTGAACAAAAATGAGAATTACAAGGTAAACAATATATTATAGGTACAAATCCAAAAGATGCTTATGCAATTTAGTTTTGAAAATGGCAACAGATTTTGCATGTCGAATAGCAGACGGCAGCTTATTCCAGAGCACAGCAGCTTTAATATTTAAGATTCTTTGTATAAGTTAGGTACTCACAAGATTTAAAACTGATTTTCAATTAGTTCATATTTGTTAAAAATAGTTCAGAGATATAAATTGGAACTTGGAAGTAAATTTTTTGTATACCTATTGCAAAAGTAAGACATACCACTGCCCTAGGTAGGCATTTTATTGTTGTAGGATATTTTCAGGAAGAGAATGAATAACGATGTGCAACAGTAACTAGGATAAGTAGTTGATGAATTTGGCGTTTGAGGGATTTGATTTCATTAATTCTCCACAAAGGCGAACATATAGGGTACCAAGAATATATATTCTTATTCTACAAAAGACCATATTATTATATAAACTTTTACACTTTCGCGTTGCATTAGATTAGATTTTATAACACGGGTATTAACGCGATAGATTTTAATAGTTTCGTTTTTCACCTACTTATATTTCCCGACCTTTCGCCCAGGTTACACCGGCCGTGGAAATATAGGTAGGTGAAAAACCTAACTATCAAAATCAATCGCGTTATTACCCGTCTTATACAATCTAACATGTTACTATATACTATAAAAAAGTTAGTCTTATAGACAAAGCTCGAAAATAAGTCTATTGTTAAGTTTACATAATTATAACAATTAATTATTTTTCAGAAAAAATGCATCTGAAAATCAGATCTGATATCACTTAATCTAGTTTAAGATTCCAGTGTTGAATGTAATCTTGCTCCATTGTTAATTGTATAATGACAAATAGCCAAAGTGGAAGTATAAATTACTTAGTTTAGTCAATTTGAATGTTTGCTTGTTCGTAGAGGATCATTGTATGGGATATTGTATGTCTCATACTTGAAATGTTTATATGATACGTCAATTTATAGAACCTTGATGACTGACAAAGGGGTCTTTGAAGTTCACATAGGGTATTTAATGTTGTAATCTTTTATTCAGATTAATAAAAGTCTCATGAATTCCTGATGGTTTCAGTTTTTCTAAAAACTTATACTGAGCAACCATTGATTGGTAAGTTTATATAATTTTATAAATTTACATACATAGATAACTTTTGAAGATTTCAATTTCAGTGAAATATTTGTATTTGAAATTATTGATCACATAAGGTATGATATGGTAGTAAGTGTAAGATCACTCAAATGTCCAATTACCACCAATAATATTTTCTTTAATGTTTACACTGCAACAACTTGTCTAACTCTGTTTATGACTATCCTTTTTATCAATGCTTTGTTAAGATGCTTCTACCTCATTTAAGAGTTTGTTCAGATATCACCACTTGAAATTTAATTTTGGAAACCTAGCATGTTTTTTAACCATACAGAATACTATTGGAATGAAAGTTTTTTCTATATTTCTTGTTTTCCTATTGGCAAAACATTTCCTAAGAAGTTGATCCACTTGGGAGCTAATTCACACTGAATTTTAATTTTTTACCCAATATTTTAAACAAAATCTCACCTGATGCCTACAATGCCATTAATATTAGCTTCGTTTTCATAAGTTTAACATGCAGGCTGTATTTTTACGCCAACTTTATTTAGATCTATTTCATAGTTATGGGCAGGCATGAAACGTATATTTGGTATTCAAATTCGCCTCTACCAACTCCACTGAGAGTCAGACTAAAGTATTTCAATAAGAATCGTAAAACTGATGCTATTACGAAAATGTCTCCTAAACAAGTTCTTTAAGAGCCGTTATCTGCGTCTTTACAGGATAAAATAGATTACAATTGTTGTGTAATTTAAGACAGCGGTGCATTTTTACTTTGAGTTAATCACCTTACTTTTGTTTAATAAATAAATCTTCGGATCACTTCAATGCCATTGAATCTTTCTAAGGAAAGTTTGTTTTTTGCATAACCTTATCACGATTTGTTTGGCGGTTAGCTGTCTTGATCAAATTTAAATATCTGTATACTAGGCGTTTTCACGAACTTTATACTAACAGTTATAAAAGTGTTTAAAGGTTTCCGATGTCTCGTTGATCCAACATTATTTCTATACAATCTAAAATTTCCTTTAAAGACGAAGAAGAGATTTTCTTCTATAGACAGTCTCTTCTTTTTTAACTTCATAAAATGGAAATTGGGAAGCGCAATAATGCAGCAGTTCATTTGGTCTACGATGCAGAATTCAGGCAAATTTCGCAAGGGGCGGTCTTAAGATGGGTGACTTAAAATTTATAATGTCGACCTTCTTCGTTTCGTTAGGCATGTTAAGCCGTTGATCCTGACTGGATTTGCAGTCACTGACGTCTACCAATCCACACTGGGCCCGCATGGCGGGTCGTGGCCCATTCTCCATATTCGTTCCTATTCTATCCAAAGGGAAGTTCTAGAAGTGGGAACTTTAATAGGCTGGTGATGATGATAGTGAAAATGAACAAAAAATTAACACAGTACATTAAAAATACATTTGAATGTATTTATTTTGAACTAAACTTACTTTGATATCTTACACTATGATTTGAAGTTCCATGAAAAATTGCCACTGCTGAAATCTGGATTTGACTGGAACGAACCAGTGTAAGCCGGAACGCAAACCGTATATCAAGCTTTCACGGGTAAAGTCAACTTTGTAATATATTTATGACAGTGGACCAATGTCAAGAACAAATTAGAACTTGAAATTATCACAAAGTAAATCACAAAACTTTAGGATGCGGCGGTCGTTGGTCGCAGGACCGACAGCAGTCGGACGGCTGATATGATAATAATGATTTGAAACCAAATGGTCTAAAGATATTTAGAAATGTTTGTCTAGGAAATTTTCCACACTATTTTAAACTATAGTATTGTTATACCGTTTAGAATTATAATCCTCAAATTTTCGTTCTTAAACTTAAAATGATAACAACATTGGATTAAATAATATTGGCTCGGTGGCATATCGGCTAAACATTATAGCTCGCTATTGTTATTGTTAAGCAATTTTCACAAGGGTGGGTTACGGGATTGGTGACCAAAAAAATATTATCACGAGTTACACCGCACATTTGCAGTCGTTAATACCCTCCAATCCGAACTGGGCTAGCATGGAGAGTCATGGCTACTGGTCCAATATGTTTGGTCCAAACAAAAACATAAACTGGTCCAAAAATAAATCGGAATTTAGGGTTGTAAATCGGGACAAACAAAAACAAGGTCATTAACCGACTTTATATAATAAGTTTATCTATTAGACCCGTATTTATACAATATTTATCCCGTCACACATTATCAAACACTTCATACTACGCAATGTTGCATGCACAAATTAAGTCAAATTACTTTTTTTTTTTGAAAAAAAATTTTTTTTTTCCTTTACTTTCACAAAGTTAGTAAATTTCGATACGTTTCTTTTTATTTTACATAAAATGTTTGTGCTAAGTTTTATAATGGGCGTGGAAGTAGATTGGGAGCCAGACCAGAAATCCTGCCGAAGCGTGGCGCTTGGCATCCTGCCCCGTGTCGCGCTGAA